TACACGTACAATCTCTACCTCTGTTCTTTGCTTAACCAAATAAGCTCTCACAGTCCTCGCCATTCTTCCAGGTACCATCTTTTTTCTCTTGCATGCTTCGATGCGTCTGCCATGGCTGAATATCATTTTTCTTTTTTCTTTTTTGTTGTTTCATGGGATCAAATTTTATTGGCAAAAGGGGTTGTTAATTTGACGCACACTTGTTCGATTTTCCGGGGATATCTGTGTTCTATTTATGTCTGATTTTCTGGATCGGTGATCTTTTTATGCCGGGGATCTGTACTTGTTGAGTTTATTACATAGGTGAAATAAGGGAAAAGCGAGTGTTAATGATGGGAAGGGGAAATGTACCACTCAAGCACTCAGATTAGTTGCTAAAAAGAACATCTTTTTGTTGTTATTGTGCGCTTTTGGGTAAATTAGATCTCGAATTGAATTATTGAATTGGTGTTTTCCTCAAGGCATACTAGCGGTTTGAAGCAATGTGACAAGGATTTTGAGAAAGTTTAGGATCATGCAAATGATGTTGCCTTCTTGAAAGTATCAAATTCTGGGATCTTTGTATATGTATATATATAATTTATATCTCTGGAATCTGATGGGATTTAGTATAGCAGGTATTAATTTGTGCAAAAGTAGATCATGGCACCAGCAGCAGCGGCAGGGGACTCGATTAATCCAAGAGGTGAATCTCTCTCTCTCTCTCTCTCTCTCTCTCTCTCTCTCTCTCTCTCGTGTGTGTGTGTGTGTGTGTGGTAGGGTGTTGAATTGGCAATACTCATAATTAGATTATAGATGTGTGTGCGCTCTGCATTTTCCGCTCTAATATGTCTTAGATCACTGTAGATGTTTGCATTGTTGGTGTTGCCCGAACACCAATGGGTGGATTTCTTGGTTCTCTTTCATCATTAGCTGCAACCAAGCTTGGATCTATCGCTATTGAGAGTAAGATTATTAACACACTGCTCTGTCTATCAATTGAAGGGGTCTTATCCTTTTCATTTCATTTATTTTTTATTATTTACGGTATGCAATCTGCTTACAGGTGCCTTGAAGAGAGCAAATATCGATCCATCACTTGTTCAGGAAGTTTTCTTTGGGAATGTACTTAGTGCTAATTTAGGACAGGCTCCTGCTAGGCAGGCAGCATTAGGCGCGGGTATCCCTAATACGGTTGTCTGCACAACTGTCAACAAAGTGTGTGCCTCTGGAATGAAAGGTATGGTCTTGTAATTAAATAAAACCGCATTACCAAGATTTTTCATCAGATATTTCGGGAAGAATGCATTTTATTTTCTGATAAAAATCTCATGACCCAATAAGAGGTGCTTTTCACTTGTGTTGTTAAATACTATGTCTTTGCCCCTACAGCGACTATACTAGCAGCACAGAGTATCCAACTGGGCATCAATGATGTTGTTGTGGCTGGTGGCATGGAAAGCATGTCTAATGTCCCAAAGTACCTGGCCGAGGCAAGGTAATATTATTAGCTGAGTGAAGGCTTTGATTATTTTTAATGTAGTTGAGTTTGAAGTGATTCTTTTGTATCCTTATGCTCTCTGGAGTGTTTTACTTGAGAGGAAACAAGATAATGATGAGCGGAAGCGACATCCTTGCGTAATTTGTTTATTATGCATATCATGTTTACTTCTTTTATTTTCAATGCTTTAATGTGTAGTTATGTGTGAACCTGAATGTGAAATAATTAGTGTGCTAGATGCGTATTGACTGGGTCTTGCATATTTTAGAAAAGGTTCTAGACTTGGACACGATTCTCTTGTTGACGGGATGTTAAAGGATGGCTTGTGGGATGCTTATAGCGACGTTGGCATGGGGGTTTGTGCTGAGTTATGTGCTGAACACCATAATATAACAAGAGAGCAGCAGGTGTGTGTATTCTCCGTGTTTTCAGAAAAATTATTAAGCCATTCGTCCTTGTTATGTGGCTTTGTTACAGTTTTACACCGTGATGCATATATCCAGTGGTTTTCATGTTTATGCTGCTTTATCTGTACAGGATGATTATGCAGTCCAAAGCTTTGAGCGTGGAATTGCAGCTCAAGAGGCTGGTGCTTTTACATGGGAGATTGTTCCCGTAAGATAACTAGACTTTTTCTTCTAAACTTCGCTTGTCTCTTTTAATTGCATTATAAATGTCTAATCTTGTGCCCGCAGGTTGAGGTCTCCGGGGGAAGAGGAAGACCATCCACTATTGTTGATAAAGATGAAGGTCTTGGAAAGGTGAATTCATCAATTATGTGTATATCTAATTACTGGCTTACTTTATAAATTTCTGCTGTTTAGCTTATTTCGAACAAATTATAACATAAATCATTTTTTCTGGTCAGTTTGATGCTGCGAAGTTGAGGAAGCTGCGACCGAGTTTCAAGGAAACCGGCGGTACTGTCACAGCTGGAAACGCGTCCAGCATAAGGTCTCTTGTCTATTCCTTCACCTCTTTAGTAGACACTAGTTTACTTTTTCCTTTTCTCAATCGAGTCAATTTTCTTCTTTAGATTTTACAAGAATATTCGAAGGGTTTGTTGACAACTGGATTTGACCATCATTTTCAGTGATGGAGCTGCTGCCCTTGTTTTAGTAAGTGGAGAGAAGGCTCTGCAGCTTGGACTCGAAGTCATTGCAAGGATCTCTGGGTATGCCGATGCTGCTCATGTAAGTAATATTATTATTTTTATTTTTTCGTGTGTGTGTGTGTGTGTGTGTGTGAATTTTGTAGAAGTCCCATTTTCTGCACTCTCGTTTCTATTCATGGTGGTTGCATATGAAAATGTGGAGCAGGCACCGGAATTATTCACAACTGCCCCATCACTTGCAATCCCCAAGGCAATCTCAAATGCTGGTCTAGAAGCCTCCAAAATAGACTATTATGAGATCAATGAAGCCTTTGCAGTATGTTGCTTTGCTCCTTCATTTTATTAAGCAAGAAAAAGGTCCACCCGGTAAAATTTTTTAGGTCTTGCTAAAAAATGTAATTTCTTGCAGGTTGTGGCTCTTGCGAATCAGAAGCTATTGGGTCTTAGTACAGTGAGTTCTCAACTCCATCTCTCTCTCTGCCCTGTGGGTGGAGGTTTACATGAGAAAAGTGCCGATAGCAAACAGCTTAAATTAAGGATAATTACAGGAATTACCCCAGTTAGCTGAATCACAGAAAATTCTTTTTATCCTTTGAAATTGTAGATACTCCCACAAGCTTATAACATACACCTTAGCCCTTAAATGCATCCCCTGAACAAGCATTTCATTCTTGAAGATGCATTTTGTAAAGCCCTAGCAAATGTCAAAATTGCGTGTCTATAAGTTTGAAAGATAACGAGTACTTTTCCTTCTCCTTTCCCCCCCTTTATTGATTCCATAGACAAGTTATTTAGTATGTTATTAAATAAGAATTTTTCTTCGTGAAATTTTTATATCCTGTTGGTGTTGAGATAGGCAAATTCAATTTCTTGAAGAAATGCTTATTTTGCAGGAGAAAGTGAATGTAAATGGTGGAGCCGTAGCGCTGGGGCATCCTCTCGGTTGCAGTGGGGCTCGCATCTTGGTCACACTTCTTGGGGTATGTTTCGATTTACATTGCATAATCATCCACTGTTTAGTGGGAGCTTAGTTTTGCAAATTCTTGTAATATTGTAATATCCATTTTGCAACCTGTAGACCAGATGTCAATATGATGATTCTACGCGTTCTCAAATTTGTTGTTGTCTTAGGTGTTGAAGCAGAAGAATGGGAAGTATGGTGTCGGTGGTGTTTGCAATGGAGGAGGTGGTGCTTCGGCCCTTGTCCTTGAGCTTCTGTAATCTTTTCCAAATTTTGGTAAGTCTAAGACCTCTTTCTTTCCCATTTATAGTTTAAAAAATTTCCAGGTGCTCGGATTTAAAGTTTGAGCTCATTACAAGATTTGCTTCATCAACCATTAGTGTTTTATCCCTGAATGCAAACCCTCGTATAGCTGCAGCTTGTGCATGACTTTTGAAAACTTTGTCTCGAAAAGTGTTTCCTAGCTTTTAGCCCGGAAAGTACACTCCGTGTAGTGCTGGGGCTCACATTTACTTTACTTTATTTTTTTAATTTGCGACTGTTGTGAAACAAACTGCTACTTTGAAGTCAGGATCAAATTAACGAGTTCTCTCTGCATTGTAGACTTTTTCAGACGACATATAAGGTTGCAAGGCTGGTTGCAGTATTGGCACATCAGAGCAAACTACACTCTGTCTCTACCATCTTTTCCAGTTCAGATGAACTTGTTCACGATATTTTTTATTTATTTTTTTTTTTTTTTCTGTGTGTTTTTGTGTTTTCCTTTTTTATTTTCCTCAATTCCTTGCTAAGCCGACAAACTTGGTGTATGTAGATTGTAGCTGATCATGAGAATGTATGCCATTACGGATTTAAGTTTATGTTATCACAATAAAGTGCTCTTTTTTCCTCATCATGTTAATTTAATCTAGCCTTACGGTCCGGGCCCGCACTTAATCTGGTTCAGAATAAGGGTTCAAGGCCAAGAACCAACCTCGACTCTCTGGTTTAAATATCGGGTCGGGAAACTATTAACCAACATAAAAAAAGTCCACAATTAAATCATACGAAATCAATTTTTGTACTACTTCCTTATTTTAAATAAATGTCGTTTTGACTTTTTTGATTCATTCATTTTGTTATGTATCTAGACATTAATATGTCTAGATACATAGCAAAATGAATGAATCAAAAAAGTCAAAACTACATTTATTTAAAAAAAGAGGGAGTATTATTTTAACTCCAATATTATGATAAATGACGGCAGTGTGATCAATGCTACTATATAAGACGTAGATGAAGAGTGATGAAGTTCTATGTTATTTTGAAAGTAAGAATAATTACAAACAGGAATCAAATTTATTCTAGAGAGTAGCAGCTCAATTTTCAGGAACAAGTTTGGCCTTTTCCTGATTTGAGAATGACGGGCAAAAAAAAAAAAAACACAAAAAGGTGAAGCTGGTTCTTCACAACTCGGCTCTAAAATCTTCAACCTTTACAGGCTCAACGTAAGATGCATATACTTTGATTATCGACTCATAAACCCCAATTCCTCGCAAATACTCATCCTTGTTCAGAAACTGCAACCGGACAAGAAACGCATAGTTAAATCATAAAATCGGTTAACATAACAAGTACATTTTCCCAATGAACTAAACATAACAAGCACATTTTCCTAACTAATCCTAAATTTGTATTGAAAAAGTAATCAAGGCTCATCTCAGGTGGGTCATTCAGATGAAATACACCGAATGTTGTCTTAGTCAACAGACATATTATGAATTTTTTTTTAAGAAAGCCAAAAACCTGATTAAAGAAAAATCACCTCATTGTGGTCGTGAAGTAGAATGGGAGTGTTGGCCATAGGAGAGAAGCCAATAGCCGGCACGCCAACTTCCCTGAAATAGCGAGCATCGGTCGAGGCCGGGAAAATTTCCGGTTCTCCTAATTTTCCGTTTGCATTTTGAATTGCCTCTTTTAATAAGGCCCACCAAGGATTTGAACCATCAGTAGCTGTAAGAATTGGCTTCCCGAACTTGTCGTATATAGAGGACTTCACCTTGAACTGTCCGAGCTACATTTTGTTAGAACATATAACCAATCATCACAATAGATGGAAATTTCTAGAGCTGCTTTCAGATAAACATGTATTATACAGATGTGCAACTGATAAGCCGAAAGCACACACCATTTATTATCTCAAAAGGTCATTTCTGTTATTTTTTGTTATTACATGCTTCAAGCATCACCAAAGCTACATGCAAGTAATTAGTAATTACCACGAAGATATATGCAGTTTCCAACTAACCTAATTAAACCTAATAAAGCAAGAAGTATGCCATATTTACTCAGCAAACTTATTATGTGATTTTGCACACTAAACGTAGTATTCCACAGCTATCCCAGGATTGAGTACACATTCATTAAGACCCTCATTTTTTTCATCCAAAACCTTCATGTTAAGACGAAGAAAATCATGTCCAATACCGGGAAAAAATCATAACTACCAGACTTCGAATTACAGCCACTGAGAATATACCAATGAGCTCCAAGGACAATAATGATACAAGGAAGGAATTACTCCCAAATAACGATCATTTAAGAAATAAAAACTATCGACACATGTAGAGGAACTAAATATTATGCAACTACACCAGATTCTTTGACTCGATCCAAAAGCAGTAAAGAGATGGAGTGTAAACATTCATTTTCTCACCTCAAAGGTCATGTTACGGTTAGCAGGTGCCCATTCCTCTGCTATTCGTGTCTCCAAGGATGGAACATCTGCAGTTGGTGGGACTCGAATATCAAAACCTGCTTGAGCTTCCGATGGTTGCAAATTCATAACAAAGCCCTGCCCATCGTCGTACAAAGAAAGGGGACAAAAGAAGAAAAAGAAAAGGAGAAAGATCGTTCAAACAAGTAATTAATTATTACTGTTTATATCCTAGTGTTGCCTAATGTAACTATAAACACATCCATTTTCTAGAACAAAATAAGGTTAGTGAGTGCTCCAAAAAGTCAGTTTACTACCTACATATCAAATGGAGACAACCAAAATGCATTCAAATGAGCACACCGACAGATTTAAAAATTTCACAATTCCAATTCTAATGAAGAAGTCCTCATTCTAGGGACATGATGTGCTACTTCAAAGCAAAACATCACTTTCAGTCGCACTCTTGCAACTAATGCAGATTAATTTCATTAGGCAAAGCCAATCATGCTACAATACATGAGAAAGTTGAAAAGCATATCAGGAAAAAAAATTAGTTTCTGACCTATTACCTATACAACAACAAACCAAACAAACTACTCAAACAAACCACTTTTGACAGTCCAGCACACGTGTAATGAAACTAGCTAGCCAGTAATCCTAAACAACCAATAAACAAACAATTCACAGTTTTTACGTAATTAAACTGCACGTCAGCTCCAAATCAATAGTCAAGAAATTTAGCTTCAACAGCAGCAAATGCATAAATCTATAGTAGCTAACTTAAATGTCCGGTCAGAAGTAGAGAAGAGACTCACAGTAGGAGATGGAGTGCCAGCCTTCAAGAACACCATATTAACAGAAACAACATCTCCTTCAGCCTTGACTCCACCCTTCACCAAATCGAACTGCGCAGCCCTATACCTCCTCACACTCTCAATGCTCTTAAGCAAATTCTCCATAGCTGTATTGTCATAGAGCTTAGCCCCGTGACCAGGCGCCCCGGTGGCCTTAATCACCAGCCACCACGGGGACCTCTCGGCATAGAACACCCTATAATTCTCACTAGGCGAAGCCAGTCCCTCGTCTAGCACAATCCCAACATTCATTTCCTGGAAAGCATCTGAATGGGCGAACTTCTCGGCGCCATCATGGCCACCAGTTTCCTCGTCGGGGACGAAAGATAGGTACACAGTGCGAAGGGGGCGGAACCCAGCGGCCTGTAGCCGGCGGATGGCCTCCAGATATTGAAGCCCGACGCATTTCATGTCTTGCGAGCCTCTGGCATAGATGCGGCCGGAGGAGGATTCAATCCGAGCTTCAAAAGGGTGGAAATCCCATTTCCGGTGTTCGGCCGGCACGACGTCGGTGTGGGAGTTGAGGAGCACGGACGGGAGGCTAGGGTTTTTGCCGGTCCACTTGAGAAGGACCAGAGGCTTCCCTTTCGCAAACTCGAGGATTTGGGAATCAAGCGAGAGGGATTTGGCTTGCGAGAGGATGAAATCGGCGGCTTCGTAGTAGCTGGGGCTGGGGTGAGCGGTGTCTATTCTAAGGTACTCCTGGAATCTAGCAATGATCGGAGAAGAATCTGTCTCCACGGCGGCGGCGGGGAGCAGTATAGCTATTGCTAGTGACAAAAGCAGTGGGAGATAGTGTAAATGACGGCGGTTATTTTGTCCGGCCATTTTTCTTGCCATGACTGAAGAATGAAGTTCAGTACGACAGTGTTGTATACTTGTATAATTGTATTGGATGATGATCAATTTATCGACGGAATAAGATCGCTTATATAAGGTGGGTCCCGGATAAAGTTACTATACACTAGTATTTGATCATGTGCACATGCACATATGCAAATACAATTTTATATGTTATATGTATGTGTGTGTAATATTTAAAATCATAAGTTAGATAATAGCATATCACATTTTATAAATTTTATCATTAGTAAAAATGAACGATAAACTATTAACTTACATATTAGTTTTTATATTGATTGCAGTTATATAATTTTTGCAATACTTTTTTAGTATGAACAATTGATTAGATAAAATAATATTGAAATAATTATAATTATAGTATCGAATTAACCAGATTTTTGCAATACTTTTTTAAAGTTTATATTTTTTATTTGTTATTATTTTTTTATATATTATATGTCGAATTAACCAGATTTTGACGAGCTTCAATTTGATGTATATGTAAAATAAATATTATTTTAATTTTCTTATTATAAAATAAAATCATCTATTAATATTTTTACTAATTTAAAAATTAATGAAAACATATACCAATTAAAAAGGTTATTTATAAAACCCTTATATATACCTTAAAAAAGATATTATTTAAATATAAATAATATTGTAAATTATTAAAAAGTATTAGGAATTTAAATGAGAAAAACATCTCCTACATTTATAATAATGTATAAAGAATACCAATTTTAAAAAATTATCTTTTATATTTTTTTAAGAATGTACATTTTTAACTAGCACCCATATAGTCACGGGTGTTGTACTAGTTAGATATTTCATTCCACCTTGACATATACAAAGTAAGAAATATTTATGTACTTTATACAACATCAATTTTAGTTAGTCACCCCATACTTATGATCAAAAGTAAATATTCAAATATAAGTCTCTAAATCTATACTATCAATTATCAATATATGTCAATTGAGATACCAATAAGTTCAAAATATAATCAAATGTTAATATGAAGACCCCTTTATAGTTTAAAAAAGATTTCACTAGTGGCAAACTTATTTTTCCATTATAGTGCACCAGGCCAATCAAAGTTGCAGATGACAGGCTAGAAGTTAGAACATTGAAAACAGTTATTAGTGACAAGTTCTATCTTCACACAATAGCTATTTCATTTTTAGAAAGATGCATCACAAAACTAACAAATTACAGAACACAAGAGCCAACAAATGCCTTGAAATCAGATGATTTCAGCAAAATAACAACCTTGGCCCAAACATAGGCAGCAAATTAATCTCTGATGGCTCAGTTGAACAGCTTTCTGAAACCATCAAAGATCCTCAAAGCTCTTAGCTCGCCGCTTCTCATATCTCTCAGCCTCCTCCTCAGAATCTGGCACAACACACGCACAATCACATCACGTATGGCGTTCTAAAATTGATAAAATGACAAGAATGTGGGTTTTTCTGGTAATCAGGCTAAAACTTAAGGGGTGGTTTATGTAATTATTCCATTCTCGTTCACTAGTTGCCATGAGAGTACCCTCAGTCTCTGTTGCGTTACCAATCATATTCATACTGTTTCACTTAAAACAACACAAATTATGAGCTGTTAGGAAGAATTAAGTTTTTTTTTTCCTTACATATTGAGCACGGAATAGTATCCTCCGCTCGCTGGTGCATAAGTCAACGGCAAGCTGCTTCAAGAACAATTTTCGGTTCAGGAGCTTCGGGTTTGTTACATCTAAATCCATCGATCCACTAGCCTGTCAAGGGAATTCGTAATTTAGATTTTTTTTTTCCAACTTATAATTACAACACAATTACTGCACTGGTGTATGCGCATTCATGTATGTTAGAAATGTAACAATGTACTTGCCTGAAGGAACTTAGAGTATTTTGAGATGCTGGCCTCACAGGAATCAAGAATAAATTGCAATGCCTCTTCCTCTATTTCAGGATACTTAGGATCCTTACTTGAAGTATTCTTATTTGATGCAGCTGCAGCCATCTATGACAAAGTAATAAATAATAATTAATTGTCACGCTTTGTAACCTAAAATCACCGCCTATTTCAATATTATACGTGCTAACGAAACACTAATAATCAGCAAAAATCATCACGGCGTCTGCCCAGATTACATAAAGATTTGATTTTCTTGTGTCATACGAATTATTAACCTCGGCAGCTCGAGGGGTAACCGTAATTTTCAAAGATCATCAGGGTAATTTGTCGTTAAGTTAAAATTTCAAGGCTGTTTTCGTGGATATTATGGAATAGGCCGGACCTGATCAAACTGATTTTTCATACTTGGGGGGCTGACTGCCAGGTAAGCGTAAGCCATTAACTCGATCGGCCAACCGGTGACTTGTAGCGGAAAACACAGTGACCTGTTTGTGAACACAGTTAATTGGCAAATAGAAACCAAAAGTAAGTATATATTTTTGTCACCAATAATCATTTCACATATTGATTTATCTTTTCAGTTGCTAAGCTGGACTCACGCTGATAGTCCGTGCTTCTTCAGAGCTTCCAACTTCTCATTGTAACATTTGTCGGATTTTTTGAGTGACAGTGAGAGCTCGACTGAGTCACGAGGATTGGTGCCTTCTCGAGGAACAAATCCATATGAAAGCAACAACTCACCATTAGATTTCCTTCCATATGATATAAAAACCTGCATAAAGTAAGAACCGCCATGAAATCAAATAACAGTATCAACCATATAATAATGCTGGTTTGCAGACTAGAGCAATAACTGAGGATGAACAAAAGGAAGGGAAAACATCAATTGGAGGATGCCCAAATAGCTATTATTCTTTACTTATTCGTATTTATTTTATTCATTTATTTATTGTTCCAATTTCGACATTGCAAATTGTGATTTCTGAAGGACCATGATTGCACCTCGAATAGCTACATATAACTAAACTTCAGCAATTCCAGGAACCAATTTTCATGTTGTAATATCTGAAAGAACCCTGTTTTGCTAATGCTTATAAATTTTTGTGAAATTGTTATTTCAGAAATATATTTTATTTTTGTCTATTCCCCAAGAAAATCACTTTGGGATGGGATTATATATATACTGAAGGCGTAATTACTCTAGCATGTGTACCTGCTCACCTGGCTGATATGCTCGATCAGTTGTAAAAACAACTGCCTTAGATGATTTATCATAATCTAGAAATGTTTCAACCTATAAATCAATCAATAATTAAAGTTAGAGTAGAGATGATATCAGCTACCAAGTACATTATTGAATAGATGATAGAACTCTAAGTGACAATACCTCACAACTATGATTCAGCATATCTGCCCATGGAACCAAAGCAACCTTTCCATCCATTGAGGGTAAGCGAACCTGATTATTATAACATGAAATTAATATTATAGGTGAAAGAAAAATGATAAACAAGCATAATTACATTATCAAAAGATCTATGCAGCAAGAACCTCTCCTTGGAAAAATTAGCATTCTTTCACAAGTATTAGTCATGGCTTACCAATCGTGAAAAAAGAATGCCAAATGACCATTTAAAACTCTCCATGTTGAACACCTAGAATAAAATACTGCAATAATTAGAACAGGCTAGAAGGTTCTGCAATATTGCAGGAAAGCTTGAAATCTGATGTCGAATAATTATTATCATGGATGCTTAACCACCACATTCACACTACAATTGAACAAAAACTTGATGAATTGACTTCCATTGTGTTATTCTGAGACAATATCAAAGGGAACGACATAAACAATCTTCTATGTAAATCAAAGCGCAATGTCGAACAAACCTTTTCAGGAAATAAATCAGGGTACTTGGAAAATATTCTGTCGTTCAAGTCATTGTATCTGTATGAGAGATTAAGACATGTTTAGATCAGCTAGCGCAAAGTCTACTTAAACTTGATATGCACCAAGTAGCAATTAGCAATAATGGAAAACTAAATACCAAAATACAGTTTATTCAAAATTAACTTAGAGAATAACTCGTACGTCCCAGTGACATCATTGATCCTCTCTATTGCTCGTTGTCTTATCTGTGAGGCTTCAAGATATCTATCCAATTCCGAACGCGTCCTGAAATTGCATGTAACTGTTGTAGGAGCAATAAATTATGAGCTTTTCGTAATTTACTGAAACTTAAGGGCAGTATCTTTTCTTTTAAGCAAAGGTCATGATTTTTGTTGCAATTAACCCTTTATTTTTTCACCCTTACCAATACAAGAGAGAATAGGGTTGCCTTGGCAAGGCTGCAATGTAGTTATTCCATCTTGATGAGTTTGCAAGACGGGCCTCACTAATCAGATAGGTCGCAAGCAGTGGCCAGTCCGGCACGTTATACTGCCTAAGCACCTCACCAGCCTCACGACAGCTCCACTCCTAAATCATCACCCACCAAAACCAAGACACAATATAAGCAACTAAAAAGGTAGTTAAAATCCACAGCAAGTTGATGAATATGCGGTTAATGTAGACCAGATTTGTTCGAAACGTACTAAAATAGAGCATGTCTATTTTTACATTGATCAATGTTGTCTGTCCTTGATCATGGAAATAAACAGTCGAGCGACTGCTAAAGTGTCAAAATAATCCAATAACCAAAGATCCACGCGAAAGCACACTATCCATCATATTTATTTCCCAATCATATATAGGCTTTAGAGTCTAGAGAAGCAGAGTAAAGCAGTAGACAGATATCAAAACCAAAGGTAAACATTAAACCAATCACAACTAAGAAAGCAAAAGGAAACAACACCCAAGCACCAAAGTTTCAAAAGGCACAATATCATAAAAAAGAACACAGAAAGGGACAAAGCAGAAAACATACAGAATCTGCAGTTATGAAAAGTGAGGGTGGCACAAAGAGCAATTTTTCCCCTTTCCTGATATTTTTCAAAGCAACGAGCCCCCTCTCCCCTACATCCACTCTCTCTATAGCCATTTTCTGAGGAGGAAGCTCGCAACGAGACAACCATTCCTGCAAAGAAGACGCATTTTCAAGAGAGTCCACGTCGCATCCCCACGGGACGCCGGTCGGGGCGGCGCTCTCGGAGGAGGCGGTGGAGGCGGAGCAGCGAAAGCGGTGGGAAAGGCCGCATCTTGTCGACGTTGAAATGGGGAAATAGAGATTGGAGTGGTTTCTGAGTGTATGTTGAGCTGGGATCGTGGGGATGAATGTTGATTGGAGAACTAGTGAAGCTTCGGCCATGGCGGGTGGCGCTGGCTTTGAGTTGGAAGATGTTGGTGCCTTATCTCGTTCTTGCCTGAATTGGCAGTTTTTTGGCCGTTGATAAATGCAGCTGATTTGTAGGAATTTATCCACTAATCCACAAGAAAGAGATAATTGCACTATGTTTTGTTATCGACTTTTTATTTTTTAAGACCATAAGCAAAACAAGCAACTCATTCATGGGTTGGCTTTAGCTTGTTTGCTAAGTTAATGGAGGTCGAGCTCGTTAAAACTTATTTATTAGTTAACAAGTCGGGCGGGGCTCAGCTTAATAAGACTGGTTTTGAAAAGAAGAATTTTTATATTATTTTTTATTTTTATAATGCAACTTGTTAATATTGATAAATGGGTCATTCTCGAGCTCAATTACTGAATCATTTAATTATCGAGTCGAGTTAAGCTCGATTTCTTAAGAGCTCGAGCGGTTGAGCCTAAATACCATGAGCACGAACTCAGCATAGCTCCTTTATACTCTTACTTAAAACTAAATTTATGGATAAATTTGCGGATCTTTAATATCTTTATTAGAATATTCACTTGCAAGTTGTACAACACCGTTTATATAAGGAAATAAGTCTAATTTATAAGTCTAATAAGCTACTCATTTTCCACCAATTAGTTTTAGGATGGAGCCCCACTTGGACTTCATCTGGACTTTTCCTGTCTTCGCGCGCTTCACCTGCGTAGGACCGCACTCTTTTTTTCCCCCGTTGCTTATATGATACCAGAGTTGGTTCTATTGGGATCAAAATGACGTATCCGTTTTCTCCCACGTACCCATTTATGGGAGTCTGTTTCTAGTAGGCTTGGGTATCCAACTCCATATATGGGCTTGGACTTTTTTATTAAGGACTCACAAGTGAGGGGGCGTATTAGAATATTCACTTGTGAGTTGTCCCACATCGCTTATATAGAAAAAATAGGTCTAATTTATGAGTCTAATGGACTACTTCTCCTTCCACTAACCTCCACTTGGGCTTCATCTGGGCTTTCCCTGTCTTGGTACGCTTCATTTGCGTGGGACCGCACTCGTTCTCCACCCATTTCTTACATGGTAGTCCCACTCGTTCTACACCCATTTCTTACATGGTATCCGATTCGGTTCTATTGGGACCGTGCAATGACATACTCGTTTATGGGAGCTTGTTTCTAGTACGGCTTGGGCACCCAGCTCCGTATATGGGCTTGGACTTTCTTATTAAGGACTCACAAGTGAGGGGCATATTAGAATATTAACTTGTGAGTTGTGCCACAACATTTATATAGGAAAATAGGTCTAATTTATAAGTCTAATGAGCTACTTTTCCTTCCACCAATTGGTTTGGGATGGAATCCCACTTGGGCTTCATATGGGCTTTGTTGTATTTGTGCGCTTCTCCCTCGTTTCTCCCTCTGTTTCTTACATGGTATCCGAGCCGGTTCTATTGGTACCGTGCAATGACGTACCCGTTTATGGGAGCCTGTTTCTAGTAGGCTTGGGCACCCAGCTCCGTATATAAGCTTGGACTTTCTTATTAAGGACTCACAAGTGAGGGGCATATTAGAATATTAACTTGTGAGTTGTCTCTGATCGTTTATATAGGAAAAATAAGTCTAATTTATAAGTCTAATGAACTACTTCTCATTTCACCAATTGGTTTTGGGATGGAACCTCACTTGGGTTTCATATGGGCTTTGTTGTCTTGGTGCGCTTTTCTCTCGTTTCTCCACCCGTTTCTTACATGGTATCCGAGCCGATTCTATTGGTACCATGCGATGACGTACCCATTTATGAAAGTCTGTTTCTAGTAGGCTTGGGCACCCAGTTCCGTATATGGGCTTGAGTTTACTATTAAGGATTCACAAGTGAGGGGCGTATTAGAATATTAACTCGTGAGTTGTCCCACAGAGAAAATAAATCTAATTTATAAGTCTAATAGGTTACTGCTCATTCCACCAATTGGTTTTGGAACAACGTTATGGAGTCGAGTCGAGCTCAATTAAGACTCATTTAGTTGCTCTTCTAGTTCATCGGTTTAAGGTTTGATAGACAATAATTTTTACGTAATTTTCTGTACTTTTATTATATAACAAGTCGAGCTCCAATTTAGCGACTCCGTAATGGTTCAAACCCAAACTCGAGTCGCCTCGTGTTACAGCTTACTTTAACTGGAACACATCTGAAAAACTATTAGATTAAAAGTTTTGGTGGTAAGGGGATATGATGTGATGATATGAATTCACAACATTAAGGGGTAAAATGAAATGTAAATTTACCCCCACTGCACCCCATACATTTCTAGTTCTCTGAACAAGAGCCTCCTCAAAAAGTAGGGAGCTTTGCTCAACAAGAAGATGATAGCAAGTAGCAATACTCTCTCCTGCAACTTCTGTCATCTCCCATCAAAAACCCCTTTTTCTCCCGCAAAATCATCACTTTATCCTCCCCAAACCATATCCCTGTTCCTTAAATCAAATTACAGCTCAAGATTATCCGAAGTTTCACCTCTTTTCCTTGAGCCCAGAAAGAGTCGAATCCAAACACGCCTTAGCTCCCTCAACACACAGACTCCACAAGAGCCTCCACTTATTTCTTCTTCCGATGAGGAAGATGAGCTTCTTGCCGGCGGCGACAATGGCGGCGGGCATAATGGGGAGGAGAGGGACTGGACGACGTCGTTCTTGCTGTTTGCTTTCTGGGCTGCTCTCATTTACTATGTTTCCGTCCTTGCTCCTAACCAAACACCGGTTTGTATAGCAATACTTTGCTGTTAGCTCATCTGTTTTTTTTTAGTCTATTTAATCTGTTGTAGTACTATAGAAGATTCTTTAATTGGGTCATAATATGATTTTTTTCTTTTTGTGAACCCGTGTTGCTCTGGTTTTTGTACACTTGTGTTTAGGTAACCGACTCGTATTTCTTGAAAAAGCTGCTGAATTTAGCAGGAGATGATGGTTTTCAAATGAACCAAGTAATAGTAGCTCTATGGTACATCATGGGTTTATGGCCTCTTGTTTACAGTATGCTTCTCCTTCCAACAGGCAGAAGGTGAAATTCTCAATTTTTGTTTTAATTCTCCAAATTGGTCAAAATGAATACATTGTTCAGATTTATTTTCTTCAGATTGTGTGTGTGATGATATGGACGATCAAATGTGCGAAAAGTGTGTTGAAGGGCTTGGGGCAAAATCGATCTGCATAAATGAGCCTCGTTTGTTGCTTTTGTATGCAGCTTGAAAAGCAAAATTCCGGTTTGGCCGTTTCTTTCTCTGTCAGTCATTGGAGGTGCATATGCTCTCATTCCCTACTTTGTTCTGTGGAAACCACCAGCTCCGCCAGTTGAAGAATCCGAGCTTAACAGATGGCCATTGAATTTCTTGGAGTCCAAATTAACTGCAGGGGTAAAGGCATTCTTATTATGTGAAAATACTAGTTTTGCATTAGAATGTGAGTTATTTAAAATGCCTAAAAAATGAAAAACTATTAGCATCTCTCGTGTGGAGATAGAATGTGAATTTGATGACTTAGGAAATGTCAAATAAATGCGTTATCAAGTAAATGTGTTGTCATGTGGTCGCAAAAGCTTCTGATATCAGAAAGAATATATCTCTTACACCCGAAACTAAAAAGAATGTTTAATTTATTAGTTCTGAAAGTGCTTCGGTTGTTTGTGAAAGTCAATCAAGAAGCAGAACTAGAATGTGAACACCTTGCCAAGCTCTCTGATTGAACTGTGAGTAAGCAGTAAAATTGCTCCCTTTACTCTTTCTAAATGACATATCGTCTTTCAAGTGTATGCAAATCATGTTTCTTATAAAATTTGTGCCAAGAAAAAGCAGGTTGCTTGTAGCTGTGCATCAAAACTATTTGGGTCATTAAACCAATATGAATGGCTAAATGATGATAACTCTTACTATCTTTGGTTTTGCATCTGCGTATTTATGAAAAACACGACTAACTATTTTTTCTTCAGATTACACTGGCTGCAGGACTAGCTATTATCATCTATGCATTTTCATCAGATGTCGGTATTTGGAAAGAATTTTACCAATACTTCAAAGGAAGCAAATTTGTGAGTGTTCCATTTTTTCTCATGCGAAATTTCGGCAAAAAGTCGTCTTCATCTATGCTCTAACTAACTAGCGATAAAGCAAAAAACTGAAACACGAGAAAAATCGCCACCTCTTTAGAAAAACAATGTAGTGTTATCTTTGCACGTTGCGTGAATATTTGTTTAATCAGCGGTTAGTCTTCAGAATCCCTCGGGTGTAGCTAATTGTGGTCCTTGTTATTGCAGATCCATATCATGAGTATTGATTTTTGTTTGTTCTCAACGTTTGCTCCTTTTTGGGTTTACAATGACATGACTGCTCGGAAATGGTTAGAATTTAATTTAATTTTTTTTCTTCTGTTTGGTCAATCTCTCTCACTGATGATGGGATTTCCCAAGTAATGGTTTGAAATTGAATTGTTGTCTTGTAGGGATGGTAAGGGCTCTTGGCTTCTTCCTATATCCATAATTCCACTTTTAGGCCCGGCCCTTTATCTTCTGTTACGACCACCATTGTCAGTAGTTCCAATGGCTTCTGCACCAAAATCGGATGAAACATGATGCAGTAAGCTCGTTTTCTCCGCATTTATGTATCTAGGCAAAGAAATTTTGAAGGTTTACAATGCACTTGAATGTAATAATGCATTACGTGGTACGTATTTACGTGTAATCTTCTTGTAATGTCATTATTATGATCTCTATTCTCCATTAGACGATATTCGGAAGTTTATTTTTCTCTTCTGAAATTATTTAGGGAATGCTAAAGAGAAAGTACAATTTATCATAATACACATGTTGACTGTAGAGAATTTGTGCAGGCAGTGAGATGTATCTTTTGCTCAAAGCTTGCTGAGTTTGACATTAAATTGCAGTTTGACTGTTATTGTAAAGGTTTTAAATTTATCATATTAGTAATATCACTGCTAATGGTTGGGTCATTACTTATGCAAATGTTTGATAAGTGATGATGGCAATGACATCAAACGGCCCACAACCTACATCTCTATATTATATCATTATATATTAATTTAACAATTAGCACATAATTGATAGTCGATTTAGTTTTGATGAATTAATTGACATGCAAAAATGCTTAATATTTAACAATTTGATATTAAATTTAAACAAATTTGTAATCCTCTATTTCATAAAGTTATATTGAGCTATTTTAAAGTTAATTTTTTTCAAATCCAAAATACTATTCCTGTTTCACTAAACACTAAAAGGAGGACTAAACAACTATAAGATATAGGCCATGTTTGTTAAATGGCGTTTCAGCCACAAATTAGCTTTTTCAGCAAAATAGTTGTTTGACTCTTGAAACCTTTAATTTTAAAATGTTTGGTTAATAGCTTTTTGAAATAGCTTTTTTGATCTAAAAGCTGTTATTAATTGAATCTTTTTCAAATAGCTTTTTGAGGAGAAAAATATAAAAAGACATATTTGCCATTAATTAATTCTACTACATTAACTCTACCTCATATTATTTTAACACACTAGCATATTTGGGTTAAATCAAAGTTAGCTTAGAAAATAGATTTATATTTTATTACATTATTACATTGGGTTAAAAATAAAATTGAGATTATAAATGAACTAAAATTTCTTTAAATAGTCCATTCACATTTGAAATTAAGTGAATTAGGTGTTCTGTAAAAATAAAAATAAAAAAGAAAGATTAAGTGATAAATTATGTGCAAATTTATAGAGGAAGAGTAAGATTAAATGTTGATAATTGATATGCGATTTTTTATATTATATGTTTTTTATTTTATTTTTTTATTTGAATATTTATTATCATGTTAAATTAGAATCTTCATCACTTTTTTCACTTCACAGTTATATATTGTTATTTTTTATTTGTGTTATGTTATTTTAAGTCGTTTTACAAATATTTTAAATATAAGTATTAATTATTTTCTATATAATTATAATTTTAAATAAACAAGAATATAAAAGAATAGATGTCCATATAAGTAATTTTACATGTTAACAGCTGATTAAAAATAGTTAATTTACCAAGCACTCAGCTGGTCAAAACAGCTAACACCATCAGCTAGTCAAAACAGCTAATGCAATCCGCTAACAGCTAACAGCTAACCGCTGATTGTCAAACAAGACCTAGTTATATTATAAAATGCTATATTTTTATTTATATAATAATATTTAAAATATAACATTGGACTACATTTATTGAAATTATACATTATCTAATTTTCTAGGCAATGTAACAGAAAAAAATAATCTAACGAATAGTGTCTAATTTACCCTCAAATCTCCAAAAGCTAATCACGACTCACGAGGTTAGTTTTGGAAATTACATACACCAAAATACTGAGAGATGTATATACCTGCCACCATTTTGTTTAAATAAAGCACGTGATTTCCATTTTTTCGTTAATTTAATTATTAGTAGTATAAGTACACTATAATCATCATTATTATATTAATTAAAAATAAAAAGTCTCTAAACAACAGATCGCACTTGTAAAAAAAAAAAGAAAAAAAAAGTAAGTGCACAAATTCACAAGCCAAGAAAACATGTCTATTATTAAGATCTGTTATATTAGCAAAATCCAATTTTTAGGTTTTCTCAATTTCAATTTTCCCATAAAAAATCAGTCAGTCCGCCTCACAAAAACCCTTCCCCTCAGGTCTCTTCTTCTTCCCTTTCCCCCAAAATCTACAAAATCACAGAGCACACACTCCCTCTCTCATTCTCTACCCCTCTATCGAGCTCAAAGCTTCATTCTTTCTGCACGATACTCCTCGTTGCATTACCATTTTGGTGCGTGTTGTTGTTCATCGGCCCGGGTTGCTATATAGATACAGAGGGGCGTTGGAGTTGTTGCAGAGAGAAGATGAGCAGTGGGGTTAAGGGAGGTGCGGGTAGGGTTCCGATTCCGAGCGGTGTTAAGAAGACGATCGACAATATAAAGGAGATTACTGGGCAGAATCACAGTGAAGATGAGATTTATGCAATGCTCAAGGAATGTAACATGGATCCCAACGAAACCACCCAGAAGCTTCTACTTCTCGGTCAATTTTCTTTCTTTAAATCAGTCTTTTGTCACTTTTCCCCCCATTTTTCATTTCGCTGGTATTCTTTTGGGGTGTTTTCATGTGGGGTTTGGTCGATTTTCCTTTTGATCTGTGCTCGTTGGGAATGAAGGGTTTGATTTCATGATCTGCTCTTTCTTTTATTGGGTATATGTGTAACTACGCTGTATCATTTTTCTTTTTGTGTCTTTTTTATTTTTTTATTGGTTGGGGGAGCGGTTTCATTTCTAATATAGCTCAAATGATGTATGCCTTGGTAAAAAATAAAAGAAATTTTAAGCTACAATATTCTGTAATAATGGTTTAAACTTCTGGTATACTTGTGATGATGATTTGAGACTACTCAATCTATTGCACTCTTATGTCTCTGTATGTGTTATTAAAATGTATTATAATTGTTCATATGCAGCTCACTGAGTTCCTTCCAATAGCGCCCTGACTCCAGAACGTTCCATTTCCAATTCAATTTTTACACGTGCATACATTTGAGTGCGCGTTTGATACTCATGAATATCTAGCCATTTTCTTGGTTTTGGGGGTGAGGGTGGTTGGTGGGATTGTAAACCTAAAATTTTCAGCTTGCTATGCAGGAGGAACTGTAAAAGATTCTGGGTTTAGGAACCTTATTTCTCTGTAGTCAACGAGCAAGGGGATAGGATTGTAACTAGAATTTTCATATAAGGTTTCCTAATAGCATCTCTGATAACACTAGATATTTTGATTAGTTTCAATCTCCCTTTTAGTTTTTTTTTTTTTTTTTTTTTTTTTTTTTTTTTTTTTTTTTTTNNNAAAAAAAAAAAAAACTGTTTTAGTGGAAGAACACTATGTTCTTTGTCTGCGGTGATAGCTCTCATATTAGACTTCTTTATCCTGCTGAGCATGAGTGTCTCAACATGTAAGCTGACAAATGCTTTTATTCTCATGCAGATACATTCCATGAAGTCAAAAGAAAACGTGACAGGAGAAAAGAGGTACTGCTAATCTCTTTTAAATCCTTGTCTTCTATACCTTGTTAATAAATTATCTCACTTCCATATAGTACAGAATAAGAGGTTCATTTTGGATTTGTATATTATTCAGGTGTTATTGTTAATAGTGCATTTTAATTTGTATTATGAACTTGAGATATTTTATTATTAGTATCTGGGATTCTGTTCTGAACCCCTACACTGGATTGCAATATAGGTACGAAAAAGAAATGATTGATTTTGAAACAAGACTAACTTTAAGAACCACTAGTATTGATCTTCTAGCTTTGCCATATGCCATCCTCATAGCAAAAATATACCTTTAGTTAGCTGATTAAAATTATGCTTATTTTCTCATTCAACTATAAATGCGACAAGGTCATTCATTGTGTGTTTTGTCTAACGTTTTTTCTTTATTGGTGTAAGCTTCGACCTCTAGTAACTCTGCTTCTTGAGAATCCGTCATCTACACGAAAGATAATTTGAACATAACTACCAACTACATTACTGTGCCCCTCCAGAAGTTTTCCTTATAGGCGAATCAATTGTTTCATCCATACATTGTTTCTTTCCCCCCAATGCATCTCATGGCCGGGTGTCATTATTATTTTTTGTGTTAAAGTCTAATGTCATGTTTTTAGCTTATCTTAATAGACTACTCATGTGACACAGTCTCTGGCCACAAAAGGGTAGCACATAAAACATAGTTTAAGTTTTATAGGAAATCATTGGTCATCATTAATGCTTTTGTTCCACTAGTTTAATCAATGACATGTGTCAATTCACTCAAATCATCAATAGGACATTTTTGTATTCGAGGCACCTATTTTATTGATATTGGAAGTTTGATAGCCCTGTAACTTATTGTAGTTGCTTGACTATGTTTCGTTCTTTCTTTTTTCCTTTGATTCTCTTAATATTGTTCTTATAGCAGGACTTGACTGGTTCGAATTCTCCTTATAATTTTCAGAACATGTCTAAGGAGCATGCTGAGTCGAAGTGGAAGCCTAGCCCACAGACTCGGACAAATAGAGTGGGTCGTGGGAACTACCCATCAAGATATGCGCCTCAAGGTGAGCTATCTTCTGCAATTGAAAAATTGAGTTGTGGTGATTTTATTCTCATGTATTTATGATGCTATGAATCATGTGACGCTATTCTGGGAGTAGTATTACTATTATGGATTTTTTTATCCTAAGTTTCATACTGATTATGTTCTCATAAAAGCTGCTTCACCAATAGGCAGTTCTAATATGAAATGAAAATGGGTACTGATTTCTTAAACTACTTACATTGAAAGGACCATCCTTTTTTCCCCTATTCCTTCTATCATACTGTACTCTATAACTTCTCAGATGCTGGTGGTGGGAGAAATATGGCTGCTGCAAAGGAAAATGCTACTAGCCACCCTACTGAGAAGTGTACCGGCAAGCTCCCCTTGGCTTCTTCACAAGACATGAGAAAGAATGAAATATCTTCCTTTGCAAGGTGTGGTAGTCTTTATGGGCCTCCTATGTGTGTGGACAATACAGTGTGCGTTCTATTTTGTATCATCATATGTGCACTTTTAGTATACTCTATACAATCTATACTGGTTTGCACCCAGCACCCCCTCCCCTCAATCTACTAATGTTGTCTAAAGACTGTTGTTATTTGCAGCCGTGCTAGTGTTGCGTCTAATGGTCCATCTGGTATTACCTCCCAGAGTATCAATATTGTACATGAGAACCATGGTGAGGGTACAATCTCTATTGGTTCCGTTAAGAGCGCCGATGCTCTGGGGGGTAAGGATATAAAGCAGCACCAAATTCGGGACTCGAACTGCACAGCATCTGTTCCTGCACCACTTGCTGCAGGATCTTATTCGTCTTCTTCAGATACTGTACAGTTGCCTTCTCAACAATCACAACTCCCTAATGCTGTGGGGTCTATCGAACGTGATTTGGGAAGTCAAGGTGCCTCCATTCAACAGCTTGACAACAATCTTACTGATAAACCATCTTCTGCCAAAATATGTATGTTGGTTCCTAAATATGTATTATTTCTCATTTCGAGTGTTGTCCAACAACTAATGGGATTTACACTTTTTGGAATCTGCAATAGCTGCTTCTGAAGCTGGGACTACTACTTTGGAGAAAATGGTGCAAAATGAATTCCAAGGAGTTGTGAAGAATCAGCTTTCAGAGTCCATGCAGACTACATCATCTGCTAACAGCAGGCCTTCATCTAATTATAACAATAGGTCTCAAGTGATTGGTTCGCAAAAAGGTATGTAGCTATGAGGCAATCTCAAAAGTTACTCTGCTTTTTTATGCCGTGTCATATAAGGTGATCATTCTGCACTGATGAGACAGTGGACCATCTTGGTCTTTTCACAATCACTATATATGCTAGAAGTCCTCCATGATATCATGGCTAGTCCAAACATTGTCAGTTGTTATTGATGATGCTTTTATGTAGCTTTTCTAGCTGATTGCTAGTTATCTGATACTTGGCTAAAGATTCTTTATTCTAGGGTGGGACAATCTGTCATTGTTCGCATCGTGTCATTTGTTTATATTAACATATTATGAATTGAAGTAGTATCAATATGCAAACTCATCCAAGTGACTACTTCCAAGACACTGATGGCTGTGATTTTTATAGAAAAGATAGCTCTTATTGAATTTTTTAAATAAATTTTGTCCAGTAACAATTGTTGTTTTGCACCAGTGGGTCCTGGCAAGGAGTGGAAACCTAAATCCACAAACCCCCATATTGGTCAAGGTGGCACGACTGCTGGTTCATCGGAGGTTCTTGTGGTATCTGGTGGAAGTCATTCTGAACCGCAGACAACTCCTGTTCTCACTTCACAAGAAACCATGTCAGAGCTGCAGGGGAAGCTGGAAGAAATTTGTATTTCAGATAGCCAGCATGTGATTATTCCTAATCACCTGCATGTACCTGAAGTTGAAAAACTTGGATTTTGTTTTGGGAGTTTTGATGCAAGTTTTGGATTGGACATGAACCAAAATAGTGTTGTTGGGAGAGAGAAGAGTCCATCAATGTCGGAATCCACTGAGCCTGTTGATGGACCCGTGATGGAGCTACATTTAAGGTTTCTTTCTCCTTCCCAAGTCCTCTTAGCATCCACCCTCTCGCAATTTATATTATTCCTTGCCAATTGTTTTGGACACTATTTTTGTTTGACGACTCCCTGTCTCCATTGCTAATTTTTGTTACTATAGCATGCATGTCTCGGTCAACAGAGAGAGAGAGAGGGAATATCCTATATGGATTAGTAGAGTTCACATGTATGCTATGGGATAGGTGTCCCTCTATTAGGATTATTATATATTTTTGCCATCTTTCTGTCATGTCTTCTGAATTAAGCTAATCACTCTTTAGTGTTTTCTTCTAAACAGAATCATTTCATTACAGGTTTTAGCATAAGCCCTTTTTTCTTCATTTCACCTCGTCTATGCAAAATCGCTAGCTGAAAAATCTGCATGCATGCATGCCCTAACATTCATATAACAAAGGTCAAGGGACATTTTAAAATGCAGTAAGAATTTTTTTGTTGACCTTTGACTTGTGCCATTTTTGGGTGTTCATCCATATGTCTCGGGTTTAAAGTTAGCGCCCTTAAGTGTGTGATCGTACCAGCACTGAAGCACTGGATCCTATTAGAACTCCAAAGTTAAGTGTGCTTGGGTAAGGGTAGTACTAAGATGGATGACCGCCTTGGAAGTCCTCATGTTGCACCCCTTTCTATCAATCAAAGAAGAAAAAAAGTTTCACGCCCTTAAGCATGTCGTTTTGATTGCATATTATTACGTTTCTGTTTTTTTTTATCTTTCTCTTCTTAGACATCAATCTTTTGCTTGATTACAGCAGCCAAGATGCATTGGTAACTGCAGAGGATACTGATGTAAAGTATCCCGATCAGCCCCAATCACCTTCACAAGGACCAGAAACCTTTGCTACGAGTGAGGTTGAAGAATCATCATCCATTAACCCTGATTATAGTGAATCCAAGACGGAGGTCGCCCCAGGAAGTTATCAACACCCTGTAGTCCACACTTCAAACGACAGTTTGGGTTTTATGCCACCAACGATGGGTGGCCAGCTTGCACCTGCAGAAAGTTCAGAATCTCAAGCACGTGATGCTTCTAGAATGCCAGGCTTTGTGGTATGTCCTGCTATCTAATGATCTTTCCATTTATCCCCTATAATATGTGAAGCCTTGATTTGCTCAATCCTACATAGTACTACTATGTATCTGTGTCGTGGCTGTCACATGTTCTTCTATTCTTTGTAAGATACCAGTCGTGTCATTTATTTGATTTTTATGGATCTTTACATTATCTATTGTGCTGTGCAGATGCCACAAACTTTTGATCCAGCAAGTTATTATGCTCAAATTTATCGTTCTGGCTTGGACAACGACGGCCGCATATCTCCTTTTCAATCAGCTGGACAAGCAAACAAGTTTCCTGGAAATGCTGCATTGGTCTCTGCACAGACTTCTCAAGAGGTTTGGCTTCCAATCTATCCTTGGTTCCTTTTCTGACTTGAGTGTCATCTTAACAGTCCAGTGTTTGTGGACTCTATCTTCACTAATTCAATTGATTTGTTCAGTTTCAGGGTGGTGTCCCTTTAGTTCTATCTACAGCATCTCAAACACCTCTCGTTACCCAAGCAGCTGGGGTCATGCCGAGCTCTATGACTGCAATCCAGCAACCCCTTCCGGTTTTCCGCCAACCGGCCGGAGTTCACCTGTCCCACTATCCTCCTAATTACATGCCATATGGGCCCTATTTTTCCCCATTCTATGTCCCACCACCCACCATTCATCAATTCTTGAGTAATGGTGCATTCCCTCAGCAGCCTCAGGCTGGCGCCGGTTTGTATCAGTCAGCACCTGGGACAAATGCCAAATTTCCAGTTTCTCAATATAAGCAGGGACCAAACACGGGTAGCTCGGCTCACATTGGCTTGCCTGGCAATTACGGGCCGTATGGTCTTTCCATGTCCAACTACACGTCGGGTTCAGTCACAGCAACTGTTACTTCAACGTCTAATGAGGATATTTCGGCTGCTCAAGTGAAGGATAACAATGTCTATGCCACTGGCCAACAGGTTCGATTGTTTAAATGATCCGTTTTCTTGTGAATTGATGAACTTGTCTTCTAGGAGATCTGTCAGGATGATTACTTTGACTACGTGCAGTTAATTTGTTCTCGATACCCATTGCTGATTGTAAGAATAATATCTTGACGTCATAGAAAGTCCATTGCTGAGAGGGGTCAATTATGTAATGAGAGGGGTCAAATGATATAAATCAATTACATTACCTCAAGGGGGTCATTTATGTAATAAGAGGGTAGTTACAACTCTGTAAAATAAATGGATATTCATGTACATGAAGTGGAAATTTCAGGAGTAGTTTTTGGAATTAACCCTATATTATTCAAAACTCCTACTGTTGGGATGTCTCTCATCATCAACTGCCATAAATTACAGTTTCCTTATTGGTGTTTAACATTGAATCCAAGGATGAAGGTTATATGTTATACAATTACACGCTTGGTACAAGAATAGCTAGCTAGGGATGCTTTGCTATCTGCATTATGGGTTTCCTTCAAGAGATGTGAAGAATTACTCATTTATGATCTATATCTTTTGTTTTACTCAATTTCTTTTTCTTTTTACAGAATGAAAGTTCTGGTGTATGGTACACTGCACCGGGCCGTGATATTTCAGCCTTACAGGCTAGTTCGTTCTACAATCTTCCTCAAGGCCAGCTGACATTTGCCCCATCACAGCCAGGCCACGTACCCTTTACGGGAGTTTTCCATCCAGCACAGGCAGTGACAGCAGCAAATGTTCACCCGCTCTTGCAACAACCACAAGCAATTACAAACAATCCCGTCGAGATGATGGGGCCAACAGCCAGCATTTACCAGCAACCGCAGCACACACAACTAAACTGGCCGAGTAACTACTGAAAGAGGGGAAGTTCATTTCTTGCTTTTAAGGCACTGAGAGAATTAAAAACCGAGGCCCGTAGTGGGATTCCAGACAAGTTTTGAGTCGATGGAGAAATTGGAAGACGGATGCGTGTGCTGAGTGTAAATTTAATGGAAGGGGGCCAGTAACGTTTGGCTATATATTGTTTTCATGTGGTAATGTGTGGTAACATTTAATGTTAGACTGAGCAAAATGTGGGAAGATTAAGTCTTTCTCCTCAGAGAGCCCCTTTATAGGTTTTAGCTTCATTGGTCAATAGCAGAGACTTGGGACTTTTTCACTTCCTTTTTGTTTAATTGGGCATATTTTTGTTTTTCTTTTCAACCTTTGAAAAATTTAGAGGTGATATAGGCAGATTCTAAGGCGAGTAGTAGGTGTTGGCTTTTGTTCGTCTCTGCCCAGTTTCTTTTCATCTCGTTTCAGTTTCACCTCGTTTTGAATCTTTGCGTTGTCTTTACCTGTAAAGTGAAAAGTTTTGGATTAGCATGGAAGGTGTACTTTGGAAACTATTGTAATTTTCTATGCTCTATTTGTATGGGAATATTTTACAGGTTACTCTGAATTTTTTATGCTTGTAGAATTTCTTGTTAACAAAGGTTATTACATTACTTTGAATGAAATTTTGTTTCTTCCTCACATGCTAACTATTGAAAGTTTTTCCTATTTTGTTCGGTGACTTAGTAACTGTCGCCATTGATATATCTAGCTAGGGTTAAAGAAAAGAAAATATCCTGGAGAAAATTTCAGGTACGTTTTCTTATCAAGAGAAGAAAAAAAAGGAGCTTTTCATTTTCTTCCAAATCAAATCCCTAACTTACATTAATTTCGGACCTAATTACTCAAATGCTATTTCTATGGAAAAATAGTTAGGCTCATATAACTTTCAAATGTTGCTTTATTAGTAATTGAGCTTAACCGATGGGAATCTACTCCTTTTGTTCCTCCCTAAGAAAGCGAAATGAAGATGATGTTGTCTTGAAACAAGTGCTGAGAAGCAAAGTATCGGTGAACAAAACTGAACCGAACTCGAAAAACCAAGCGGACCCGTGCAATTCGATGCATAACCGAAATGAAATGGGATTTTGTGTTTATGCCGAGACTTCTTACAACACCATTTTGTAAGTTGATCTGGTTCGTGATTCGATACTGTTTCACTGAAATTTTGGTGGGCTGATATGTGATCGATTCATCACATATTCAAATATAATTATTACTATTAAATTTGCTATTTTTTTAAGCATTTCACATTAGGACTCTATCTATGAACATGCATTAACACCAACATCATACGTGTGGGCAGTATCGTACCTATTTTGCATTTATTTTCATTATTTCATAGCCCTTATTTCCTTATTTTCCAGGAGTATTAATACGGAGCAGCATAACCAACTGCGTAATTCAATAGCTAAATGATCAGCATAATATCAACAACTTTTTTTTTTTTTTTTTCTCTTGGTGCTTCTATTAACTACATATAATATGTAAATGGATGGAAATTGAATATTTTTTATAGTATGGCTACAGGTATTATTAGAACCGACCGGATGATTAGCTCATGTTACAAGCTCGTACTTGTGTAATAAATATAAATAAAACCTAAAACGTTTGAATGATTTGTTTGCGAATATTAAAAAGAAAACCCAAATCAAGCTATTAATAATCCAAAACCGGAATCTCACGACATGTTTAAACTACTCTCGTTTTGCTATCTAAAAGCCACCGACCACGTCTACACAGACAAGCCAGGTGGCGGTGGAGCGAACGGTGATGGCGGCGTGAGAGATGGGACTTTCGGTAGACGGTGTTTCGTCCTCTTCGTTCGTCGGTTTTTTTGGGTAGACAGTGGAACTTTGGTCATTTAATCAATTGGTGTTAGACAAATTGTAGAAGAAGGAGATGAGATGGAGAGAGAGAAGAAGACGAACACTGAGAGAGGGGGAGAAAGAGAGACAAAACGTGTGATATAATCAATTTAATTTTTTGTTTTGTGTTTTTAAGGTAAGTGTATATTTAATCTCACTTAAATATCTCATTACCATTAAAAAAGAGTTAATAACAGTTACATAGTGTTTAGGTATAATTGAAAATATTTTAAGCTTTTTTATGTAATATTAAAAATAAGACTTTAAGGGATATAAAATTTATATAATTTGAATGAATTAGTATAGGGTGCAATTTCCTCAATATAAAATGTCTGTTCACACACAAAGTTCGGCACAGCTATTTCATTTACAACATATAAAAATAATAAGTTGTTTGTGATTCAGCCCATTTCACAAATGAGGTCTCTATTCGTTTACTTAAACGAGTTGAACTTAAAGAACAAACCAAAGTTACCCAAGTTGTATTTGCGCTCAATTCATTGTAGTTGGGTGGGTACCATTCACTTTGCTAGTTGCACATTATTAGTTTATTATCCAATTTCTAGCTTCCATAGCCGACATGTAATATAGGAAAATATTACAGTTTTCGTTACAAAATCATTTCATCGAAGTTAGTAACTGTTAGATCAACTATCCCGACAGTTACATTCTAACGGTTACAATCTCGACGGAATTGTTTTAGGAAATACCATACCAATTATAAAAATCACCGAATGTATCGCTTTCAAAGTTTATCCAGACGAAAGAGAACCGCATAGCAGCCCACTAGTGACAGGCATACATATTGCCCCATAACAATTAACAACGTACGTCTATCTTTGAGATAAGAAGGAAAAACGTTATCACTTTACGAGTGGATGTTATTTGTTAATACACAACTAGAAACTTCTTCTTCGGTGCTTTTTCATTTTTCAATGACCTATTTTTGGTTCTTTTCCTATTTACCCATTATATCATACTGTCTGTAGACTTGTAGTTGATTTAGAAATGAATCTAACAGTGTGGGATCTTCAATCTTTAATGTGCACCTTCTCTTTGGACACTTTGTCTTCTCATCAATC